CATTTAGGTCATTTTTAGGAAGAACCCTTCATACTTTACAGAAAACCTTTTCCTTTAGCCGTTTTTATGAGATTTTTGTAGAAGATTGTTCAAGTCCGAGTTCTTCAATAGAGAAGCTTTCTTTATCTCTTTTCTTTACTGTTTTTCATTACTTTTATTAAAACCAATAATGATATATTGTTATCCGTCAATTCCAATCTATCTACCTTAGTGTTAAAACCGATTATGATCCCTTAGAGTTCCCAAAAGCTCAGCGTTTTTAGCCATAGTTTACAATTCCATCGATTTTTACTTGTTTTCTTAGACCTGCATTTCAATTTCCTTAGTTCGTTATTTACTTGCTTTATTTACCTTTCATGCGATATTTTACTTGCCTTATTTTTGTTTAGTTCGATATTTTACTTATACCATATGCATTTCATTCGATTTTCTTTACTTGCTTTTTAGGATAGATTTATTTGCTTTCTTTTGTGTTAGTTTAATTCGCAAGAAAAAGAACCAACCTTTAAAACCAATTTAGTCTAGACATAAAGTTAAAAACCGTAGAAGAATACCAGGCACACAAATCTCTGTGGATTCGATCCCTAAATACTACAACTGATTAGTTGTGCACTTGCGGCTTTCATTTGTTTTGTTAAGGGTAAAACGTGTTCCCTCACGTAGTTGACACGAGCACGCATCACCTGTATCTTGGTTTTTGGCAAAATCGACATTCCTCCAGCTGATTATCATCTTTCCAAAAAATCATACAGTTGTCAACACATACATCTATCATCTCAGAAGGTAGACCAAGACTAAAAATCAACTTCTGAATTTCATAGTATGTTCCCGCTGCCAAGTTATCCTCCGGTAGATACTCCTTCAGAAGATCAACCCAATCATCCATGCAAACCTCAGCCAGGTTATGATCTGTTTTAATTGACATCATCCTAGCTGCCAACGATAATTTAGACAAGCCTTCTCTACATCCTTCGTAGATTGGCTGATTAGCATTGTCTAACAAATCATAAAATCGTTTGGCATCTACATTAGGTTCCCCAACAGCATTACCAGTATGCGTTTCATGAAATGCATCAGTCACCATTTCGTGCATCCTATCATGATCTACACTTTGATCATATTGATACTGATTAGGCTGATGACCATAATTCGATTCATCAATATCAACATGATTTTGATAATTACTACTACTACCAGCATTCCCATGAGTATTACTGCCATATCCTTCTCCATGTAGATACCAAACAAAATATTGCGGCATAAACTCTCTATTTAATAAATGCGTCTATACGGTTTTGGTTAGTGTATACCTCGTATTCTTGCATTTCAAACAAGGACAAAACATCTTCCCACTATCTTTCGTTCTCTCCATATTTGTAGCCTGAAACATAAATATTTCTAACCCGTTCTTGAACTCTTCTGTCAATGCTCCATCTGAATCTTTACGCATATACATCCAACTTCTTAGCTCGTATATAGACATCTTGAAAATAAACTCAAAATACTATCTCTTTTTATTGATTAGACAATTGTGTCACGTCTAGCCACGTGAATGGAGTAAATTAACCTTATAATATTATTACTTCTTTTTTTCAAAGTAATAACTCTTAATTCGGGTTTCCAGCAATGGACAACCCAATATATAAGGATTTACAACACTATACTAAAATTTAAGAGACCTACAATGAGTCTCAAAGATGAAGATGCTCTTATGTTTGAATGATGATGTGTTGTGATTGAAAGAAGGAATGAAGATCTATTTATAGGAAAATTTCGGGCTTTACAACGCTTTTACGACGACATTTTACGACGAATTTACATTCAAATATAATATTACGACGAGTTTACGACGATTATGCGATAAAATCTTTCCCCTGCAATTGTTAGGTAAACATGTTTTAAATGTTTTTCACCTAACTTCTTTTTCGACGTAAAATCGTCGTAATATGTACATCGAAATGCAGTCATCGTATATTCATCGTAATTTTACACCGAATTTACGACGAATTTACATTTACTAGCAAATCTTTCGTTATCGATGTATAATCGTCGTAATTCGTCGTAAATTGTACGTCGAGTTTACGACGATTTTTTTATACGACGATTTTAAAATTAGACATAAGATCGTCGTACAATCGTTGTAAGCTTGCGACGATTTGAAAACCGTCGTAATGGACCGTTGGAAAATGATTGTTTTCTTGTAGTGATCATTTTTCTTAAGACCGATAAGAAGTTTATTTGAAAAAAAAAATTGAAATATTGTTACATTATGTAGAAAAAGATTTTTGATATTCAATGTTTTTGTTTTGTCCTCCTATGTCGACTAAACCTATATTTTAACCCTTTTTTTTTTAACGTCATAAGAAAACTTATATTTCAACCATGATTTTTATTTTCTTGCCGCCAATAGCTGTCACGAGTCAATGAGTCACGTGACCAATCAATATGTAAGTTTCCTTTTTGTTAAAAGATCAATATGAAGTATGTGTGTGTGTGTTTTATTATGTGACGTTAATTTGGACGGTTGAAATGAAAAAAAAAGAGTCAGGTCACATGTGGGACGTACAGCTTCTCAAAATCTTGGAAATGGAATTCTGATCGCAGAAAATATCTCAAAGAAAAATTACAAAACATAAAAAAAGGTTGTTGAACACATGCAACTCGCATTACACGACAAACTCTCTCTTCACCAACACACTGATTCATACAACACATGTTTCGTTAACTTGCATGTATGTGTGTTTATAGCAGTCAAGCAAGTTTGATTCATTTTCGACGGCTAGGAAAATTTTTCAGGAAAGTTCGTAATATTGGGGAAATTTAAGGAATTATCAGAAATATGATCGCTTTCCAAATTGTTCACTTGACTGATCTCTCTAAGCGTTCGCTCTGTGAAATAAATAGTTGATTTGTTAAATTTTTTGGGTTTCCAAGTTAAAACTAATTAGTAATAAATAGATATGTTCAAGTTCCTTATTTATATATTAGTGTTAGTCTTTTTAAATTTTTGATATAGGATTCTAACACATCCCCTTGAAATGATGGCTCTTATCAGCCTATCTCAAAACAAATCCTACTCTAGGACTGATAATAAACCCTTTTTAGATCACTCTTTTTGGATCATCTTTCTTAGATCAACAAACAAGATTCTGATATTATGTTAAGTTTTTTGGACTTCTAACTTAAAATTCATTGGCGATAAGTGAAAAAGCCTAAATCTCTTATATAATAGTGTTAGTCCTTTTAAACTTCCGATATAAAATTTTAACACGATTGATTTTAACAGTTAGATATTAAAGTTATTAAGAATAAACCAAATCAAATCAGGTCGAACAAAAAAAAAATCATAAATAACCCAAATGTTTTATTGCTCCCTCGCTTTGTAATCACCCTGATTAAACACTTTATGTAACATCAAAAGATGTCCACATAAGAGAGTAACAAATTTTAATATCTTTGTGGGGATTTTATAAAATTCTTTTTTAGTTTTTTTTTGTCTTTTTTTTGGTTGCCGTAATATTAATTATTAGGTTTACTGCGATCGAACCTAAAAACAGTAAACAAAAATGGTTCAAATAAACGAACACTGGTTGGGAAGTGGAAACACTAACGATTGATATTGAATCCCAAGTCGTTTTCGTTGTTGCGCTGTTCACATTTTCTAATAATACTTACAATACTACTTTTCTTTTTGCTAAAATAGTTTATTAATATTTCGTATTTCCTACTTAAACACAATCGTTTCCATCCCTTCTTTGTTACTTCCTAAATATATGAAAAACGGGCCGGGCCATTCAGCCTAGACAAGTGCTTAGCCCATGCAAATGAAGCATCAAGCTTTTTAAGTCCATTCGTCAAGAGTCATGACTTGAAGTTTGCCCATTCCCCTACTGGCATAAGCATGTCTGCACATGGACCTATGAATACATACTGACATACATACCCTTTACTAACAATTTCACAATATTTTGAACTTTAATAAAAACTCATTTATATCCAACAAGTTCGTAGTTGGAATCTCAGTTCAAATACACACTAATCCAAATATACCAAAACTGATTCAATGAGAGTGGTTTACTGATCCAACCTAAACCAATCTGCTCATGATTAATTAGTCTGATTGAGATGACCCGATATTGATTTTTTAATGAGATCTTGTTGAATGAATAACTATAAAATAATCATTTTGACGGAAAGTACTTGAAATTTCACATCAAAGGTGAAATGTTTTGTTTGAGAGAAGTAATGGTAACTACTTATTCCATTTAAGGAACCCACGTATTTTTTACTTGTTTTTAGTCAATAACCGACTAGTATATATTGTTGAATAAGAAGTTGTAAGTTTTAGTTTTTGATGTAAAAGAAAACATAAACTTCTAAAGTTTATAAACATTACCTTACAAAAAATGAATAGACAAAAACAAAGGACAAAGGGCTGTGAAATTAAATGAATCCATCTACAATCTCCAAAATCACAGCGGTAGTGAAAATAGTATATAAAGTTTTCATACCTTCAATAGTTTCTTTCAATCACATTCATAACCATGTTGAACTAGAATTGTACTCTTCTTTTTTCTAACTAAGATAATTTGTGTTTTATAACTATATATTCTTACTTTAACTAATGTTTTAGCTAGAAAATTGAAGTCCTAATACAAACGATTAATCCAAAAAATACTTATAGAAAATCATATCTTAAACGTATTTATTTTAGATAAATAGTTTTAAATTTAACTAACAATCGCAAAAATAGTTAGCGTATGAATATTTTCAAGCCTAATTAGTTTACCATCCAACAGTTAATAGAATCACTTAACATAAAAGAACTCTAGAAAGCTTTTGCACAAATAATACTGATCTGAGGTTCATTTGTTTTTAACACTTTCCAAAGTGTTAAGTAACATTTTGTAAACTGTTCATGACAATATTACTGTTATATGATGGTACACGGGAAGAGATAGAGGGAATATTTTTGTCTTTTGTAAAACCATTCCAATAAATTTGTACACACTTTTGAAAAGATATATCTCGAATGAAAACATTAGAATTAATATCTCACTATATTCTCTATATTATTATATAAAAATGGAAAATTAAAAATTAAAAACAATCAAGCAAGGACCTTGCTTGATCTTGAGAATCTTGGTGACCATGGATTACACAATAGAGAGGCTTTTGAAGAGAGCTTCTTCTTCAGGTTTTGTTTTGTTGACTCTCTACCCAATTCTTTGCTGCTTTCAGCTTCTCCAAATGCTTCCATGGCTGATTTCAAATCTATAAATTTTGAAAATAAGTATAATTAGACTTTATGTTATTAAACACATACATACTTTTTAATTAATTTTATACATCCATTGATCAAGTAATATATGTATAGGCCTGCTTAAATCATTTATTTTTAGACATGACTAAATAATTTATGGAAATCGCTTGATCATTGACAGAGGCACAAATTAAATAATATAAAAAGAAAAAGAAAAAAACTTGCCTTGAAATGGCCACGATGAATTTGGCTCTAGAACGGTGTTGCTCGTCTTGAATTCATGTAGCTGTAAAAGTCAATTAACCGGTTCAGACTTAACCAACATCGGTTAACGTTTGAATTTGGAGGAAAAAAGGAATATAATTTCCAATTGTTGCAAAAAAAGAAATGTCTTACCCAACTAGGTGCACTACTCGATGAACTGTCCCAACCGATATGCGACACGTGTCGAACGTCTGTAGGATATCCAATTTCCATCTCCTCCTCCTTCTCATCTAAATAAGGAAATTCTCATTTAATCAATGATGTAATCATTAGAATGGTTTATCTATGTCCATTTGATAAAAGCTAAACAAGGTTAGAGTTTTAATCAATTTACCGAAAATGTCGGAGAAACACTTGAAGCTCTTGTGATAAAGCCCTTTGAATCTTGTAGCCATGCTCGAATCTCAACACAACAATAAATGTCTATCTACTTATATAGATCCGAACCACTTCTACAATAATGAATAATGTTAGAAAGAACAAAATAAATTTATGTTTACAAATGACTGAAGAGGAAGATGAGATGAAGAAGATGAAGAGGAAAAAGAAAAGAGACAAAAGAAAAAACTAGAATTGTTCGAGATTCGGAATGATATTTAAAGCCAAATAAATAAAAAAATGTGAGGAGACATAAAAGACAGAAAGAGTAGTGGTAATATTAAAAAATAAATATGAAGTATATTCTTATCAATTATTGGAGGATATAAAATTTGTTTATTTTTTAACCGAAAACAGAAAGACGAATATCTTATCCGACAGGACAAGGAGAAAATCTATTTTATTTCAAGAGTTTTCTTTTTGTTTTTATGCATGAGTAAAACTAGTTAAAGGGTTAGGTATTCCATTCAACGAGTTTTAGTTCAACTACCAATTCCACCCGATAACTAATTTTTCATCCACTCGAATACAATAGGTGTTAATTGTTATTGTCATGAAACAAAAATGTGAACGAAGGTTTTTTCATTGCCAAGATCAATCGATCAATAGGGTTGGGCAAAATATCTGTTAGATTTGTTTTGATCCATTATTCGTCTCAATTTGATATGTTATTTGTTTTAATTCGACCAGAAAAATCCAAATATCTGTAATTTTATGGAGCAAAGCAAATACTAAAATTCAATATTCGTTAAAATAGAACAAATCACAAATACTAAAAAAAAAAAAAACAAATATCTGCTATAGATAGATAAAAATTCATATAAATTTTATAATTATTATATATAGATATAATTTTTGTGAATTTTTGTTTATAAATTTGATTATAAGATGACAAGAAATTAATTATTATAAATATTAAAGCTTAATAAGTTAAGAAAAAAAATGTTTGTTTTGAAGAAAATATTACTATTTTGGCTAAATTTTGTATTTTATTTTAAATATTTTATTATTTAAATATTTTTATGGAGTGAATTGGATATCTGACAAATATTAGAATTTGAGCGGATACGAATCGGAAAAATGATGACCCAGACGGAGTAAAGCAGATCATGAATATTCTCAAAATCCAGGATATCCGCTTCACGCCCACCCCTAATCAATATACACATACACAAGTATTTAACCTAATTTTCCACAAAAATAAAAAGATTACAACTAAAAGATAGATTAATCGGATATAAGTATCCGTAATATAGGTATTCAACTTTTTGAAACATAAGTTGGTCGTATACTATGGCTTCATTGTTTGCTTTACCATATCAAATAAATATTTAAAATTATTAAAATAGGGGCTAAATTTAAATGGTTATCAACAAATATTGTACCAAAAAAATAGGTTATAACACAAAATATATTAGCAACTTTAATCAATTTTTTCATTTGTATCAATAGTTTACTATATAGGCTAAACGGGATGAGACGGTGAAAAACCGAACATTAATAAAATCAAATGTTATGCCAAATTGATACGAGCCCTACACCGTTTTTATTTGGAGTCATAATTCCATTAGAAAGACACGATCGAATCCTAGCCATTCGAGGAAACCAGCAGCATGGTGGCTAACAACTAGTGTAAAGGTCTATGTTTTTTTATTTCTAAACTAGGTGAATACCCGCGCAATGCGCGGATGGTTTACATTATTTTTTTTAGTTTTTATTTTATTTTTTTAGTCATTTTACAATTTATTTTGTAACATTATCTTTAAATGAGATATTATTTGCAATCATGATATTTTTATAAATACTCTGATTTTTGGTCAAATCGTCTATATAATGTTGTGTTATATATAATTTTAGATCTCTTGATATTTGGTTTTTGAGTTCGTCTCTTTTATTCTTTGTCTTTGTTCTTATTTGATTGCAAGTAGGTTGTATTCTCTTAAATTTTATGAAATAAAAATGTTATCTTGAACTGGTTTATCGTATTCTTGATGATTTAACTTAGTATTAGTTCAATAGTGTATAAAATGATGTGTTATATATAATTTTAGATTTCTTGCATGATATTTGGTTTTTGAGTTGGTCTCTTTTATTCTTTGTTTTGTTCTTATTTGATTGCAAGTAGGTTGTATTCTTTTATACTTTTATAATATAAAAATATTATCTTAAATTGATTTATTGTATATTTGTTGATTTAACTGAGTATGTTTTTAATAGTCTATGAATTTTAAATAAATTTGAATTTGAATGACAACATTTCGTATAAGTGGTGTTTTTAAGAACCTAAACCCAAATCAATTGCTGTCTTGGTAAAATATATAATTTTAGATTCATTCAAATACTCTCCAATTCGTCTCTTCTATTACTTTTTTTTTCTTTGATTGGCTAAAATTTTCTTGGCTTTACAACTCTCTTTCTGATAAATAGTTTGTTTGTTGTTTTTGGTGTAATATAATTCTCCTGTATAGATACTTGTCGTTTCAGGAATGTATAGCAAAGAAACAAAACATAGGAAGCAAATCATATCTCTCGATTAAATTGTTTCTTCACTGAGAAATTTTGTGTTAGTTTGATATGTTTTTATAATCTCTAAACTTAAAATCCCTTTAAGTAATTTTTTTTTTTTACCTCCATTTTGTGCTTCTATTAAACCGTTGATTCCTTGTTTTTAATTAAAGAAACTAAATTCTTTTTTTCTTGGGAGATAATAACTAAATTATCTTCTATTAAACTGTTGGTTCTACTTGGTAGGCGTTAAGTTTAAATGGAAGAAAACATAGCAACATCTGAATTCTATGGTTCTTATGTCCCATTCCTCGTAGTTCATTTATCTAAGTTAACGGGGAGTACCTTTATTGTTATCATCAGTAATGCACCAGGTGAGGAGAAGTCTTATTGAACACCAAATTATGTATTATTTGCATGAGTACTCTATGGGTAAAAGTTAGTAAATTCCAGAATTGAATATGCAAAAAGCTTTGATTACTCATGGAAGTCAAAACTCTCACTCCCTTCCTCACCATTTGATTTCTCACTCGAGTATCCATTCTCAACCCTCTGAGTTTAATCTTATGCATCAATGGAGGGAACATTCATTTGATTTTGTCTTCTCTTAGGCAAGCGTTAGCTTTGCTGATACTTAACATCACTGATACATCTGTAAATAAAAAACATACAAAACATGTGAAGACAAATCAAGGAAAGTTATAGTAAATTTTTTAAAAATTACAGAGAGTCAAATGACCAAGAGCAGAAGCTGACGTTTCCACGACTCAAGCATCTTAATCAGTGGTGTGATGGCACCTCTTTGGGCAATGTGCAGTTGTGCACCTGCCTGATTATGTTGCCAGATATGTTGAATATGTTCTCTCTGGTTTGAATCCATCATCTATTTATGTTATCAAAAGAACCTGATCAGTTTGAGTTAACATATGTTAAGAGTATAGTACAACATGTCAAGAAAGAGACACACTCATACCTTCCAATCTGAAACATGTGCAACAAATTGACCTATTAATAATGATGCTTCTCTATGTGTTTCCAAACAATTGGAGCTGTAGCAGATATCATAGCAAACGGTTACAAAACATATTTTATATTTTCAAGAGTAGACATCTTTCTCAGCAGAAGTAGAGTGGGAGACAAATAAGCATACCTCAGTAGACTAATTACTGGTTTTAAAGCACCTGCATGGATAACCTCTCTTGCCCCAATCTGAAAAGTCCATAGTAGATTAGAAGGAACTTAATAAAGCAAACCAATTGCCAACAATATAAAGTAAGATAAAGAACCAACTGCTTCACCATGCACAGAAGAATCTTCCTACTAAAGCATCAATAAAAGCATGAACAAAGCCTTCAACTCCACAATCTACATAGTTTCTTATTACGTAAGAAACATGTCCCTTATAAGCCTTCACAAAACAAAACATACTTGAATTTTGTTCTCATCATTTCTAAATGAAACCGTTCGCAAGTCCCCTGCAGCATCCCTCTGTGTACTTTAAAATCCAAAAAATCTAAAAGTTTAACAAGTGGTGGAATGCCACCTTCAACCCTGAAAAGAAATTGAAAAGGTGTAAAATGAAATCAGGCATAAGCAATAGCAACACCATATATGAATATTAGATAAAATCAAATACATGAGTTGAATTATGTAGATCTTAAAATATCAAATTCCAGTGAAAAAGCCAACCACCTCCTAATTTAAACCTCGCCTCGTTGGCGATGATAACCCCCGAAAAAATCTAGGTCTCCCTCGACGCACTTATCTCACATAATGCACTGAAATCTGGAGAATTGATTTAGGGTTCTAATCTTTGGAGAAAGCTCCCGGAGACGATGATGATTCACTAATCAGTTGAACAATGATTGATCTTCACAGTTTTATTTTTGGTGCAGAATTAATGAGATAAGTGAAGAAAGGTGAGCGTTTTTCCTCCGTGTTTTAATTATTTTTATGAATTGAAATTATATTAAACGTAATATTGTACCAAGAAGAGAAAAGCTGAAGTCATAAAAACTTCACAAAGACACATGCTTTTAATTATTGTGTTGGACACGTATCGTCTCCGCAGATGATGACGTGTCACTTTCCTAGAAAGAATTCTTCCTTTTTTATATATAAGATAGTTGATTCAGCTACATTAATTTGATTGTGTAGGAAATGTATATTTTTTTATTTCATTCATCAACTAAACCAATATGGCAATATCAATATATGCAATCAAAGATTCGGTCGAACAAATAAACTGTGCATATGAAGAAATCAAAATAATTGATTTAGTTATTTATGTTAATAAAATACATTCATCTTTTCGGAAGTCCGCATAAATTTCGTAGTTGAACTCAAATTGGTTTTTTCAAGTAGCGTACATGCAGTTGAGTGAAAAGCCGAAAATCAAAACCATGGTAATTTATAGCATCATTCGTTAAATCTTGCAAATTTGTTATTTGATGAAAATAGGCCTACAAATCTAAAATAGTTCAATCAACATAAATTGGAAGTTCACGGACGAATACAGCGAAAACGCAAGACCTTTAGAGATGTATCGATGCAGCGCAGATACTAGGACAAAGTTTTTTTCAAAAAAACTTCCAACCAGATTATATATGAAGATTACTTACAAGTATACCAGAATAGAGAACTTACAAGTATGAAGTATACCAGAACAGAGAACTTACAAGTATCTCTTAGAATTTTAGCTCTCTTTAGTCATTAAACTTGAACAAGACAAACAAGGCTTGCAACTTGCAAGCTCTAACCTGATTCACTAAACAAGAATACTCAAAAACCCTTTTTGTCTTAGAAACTTTAATTTGTTTCTGCATAAATTTCTAAGGAGTCCGAACCCTTTTCCTAATTCTATCTAAACTAGGAAAAGACCAATTTCCTTATTTCTATAGGCTTTTTCTTTTTCCTTTGATATCTTCCTTTTTCTCTCTGTCTTTGAATCGGCAATTGTAGTCTTCCATTTCATCTTAGACTAACTTCAGACTCCTGTTGATAAAACTAAAAAAAAAAGCATAAATTCCTAATCAAATGAATGTATGTTATACAAAATCCGATCCACCAATTTTCATATACATGCCTCTCAAGTCTCAAACACAGATTTTCATTCCATTCATCTAATCTTTTTGCTAATTAGCAAAATGACTTTCGCTTTAATAATCAATATGAGAAAGCTGTCGTCTATCATTATTTTAACTATATAAGAGTATTCTATAACTAATCACCCAACGATTAATATATTATACAAAGCACAACAAAAAACATTTTGCTGTCAAATCAAATGATTAGCCTTAATCTTTTACTGATTGAAAGCTACAGATTTTGAGATATTTGAGTTGTGGCCTTCACGTTTTTAGTTCTCCATATGTATAAATACACGCAAAAAATATATTATACATGCAATCGTCATTGTCTTGAATTGTAAATTTGTAACAACATACAATGTGGCTAGGTGAGACAGCTGTGTTTTTTTTTTGTTTATATAGGTTGAAAATTGTGCTTAGTCACTTTCATGACACCTCTTGCCTTTGGGTTAAATCTGTTATCCCCGTCGAAAAATGAATCTAATTGTCAACTATTTCTTTTGAAATTTTACTAAATCCATATCTTAAAGAAACGTATATATTTATTGACGACTTTTTTGTATCTCTCAAATCTTAATGTGACTAAAAATTAATTTCGTCGGATGAACATAATTTTCAATTTATATTCATATTACCACTCTAATTTCAACAATTAGCTTAATTCTTAACATTTGAAAAAAAAATTAGCTTAACTTTTGGAGACTCCAAATTTCAATGTCTCTTTGTTAATAGTCAAGCATCATGCAATTTACTTGACATAAAAGGGCACATGAATTGGTCGAGCTAGAAGTTCAAAACTGAAGGCCCAAATTGACGAAGCCCTATAGGAAGTGGATGAAATTTTGAAAGCCCTAAACGTTACTCGTTTTTTTCATTCAAAATCATTTGTGTTTAATTGAATGATGAGAACTTTCGGTGGTTGTAGTCTTGTAGATTCACTCGAAAAAAACACAAACAAACAATAAACACAAACAAACAATCGAAGTCACAATCATTTCACTTGTGTGATGCATTTGAGAGGCGTGATTCGCATTTTCTAAGCTTAAAATGATCTCGCAAATGTATTCATACGCAATGCAAAGCCCTATCGAGAGCATGGTGCCCACGCACGCAAGCCAGTCATGTCACGAGGCTAAAGCTAACAAAGGTAAAACCTGAAACTCTATCTCTATCGTATTAGATTGTACGAATGAACACATACTAGCAAACCGATCTTGACTCAGGCTGATTCTCAAACTAATAGCAACATGAGATACAGAGATGGTAATAAACTTTCAGAGAAATGAAAACCCAAAGAAGAAGAGGAACATTAACAATAAAGCAAAAGGTCCCATAATGTTCTCGCTATATCCTATCGCAAACTCCTTTTTCTGAATAGATGCAGTAAGCAAGACTTAAGGCACAGAGAAACTCAAAGTTGCAATGTAAACGCAAATGCCATCTTTAATGCAAACAAACAATGTGGCTGACTAATAACTCTCTTATAATGATCTCAACACTCGATATCTCTCTCCCTTAGCATTATATTCTATCCTAGCAATTGACAATGTGGAAATAGAACTACCCTGAAAGTAAAGCACCTGAATTTCTGAGTATGGCTCCTAGAAAGAGAGCATACAGAACACTGAACAACGTTGCATCGACTAGAGATTCATATTTTTGGTTATATGTTTCTCAATCAGATGTAAAAAACTAACAAGGAACTAGTATAGCAGTAATGAGTTCTTAAACCATCTGAATATTGTACTACACCGATTCAAAGTATTCGAATCGAAACACAAAACGTCTCCAAAGTGTCATTACTCAGTTTCCAAAAGTGTTTTCGAAAGCTAAATCCATTACCTTTGTGAAAGACACATTCCTCAAAAAGGAGTGAAAATCAACGCCAACTTGATGGCCAATACGGATGAATCCCATATCCAGTCTTCCAATTATCCAAGTAAACCACTTTCTTCACAGCCCAGAACGATACGAACAGAGCAAAAAGCATCACCAATCTCTGTGCATTGAGGTTCTTAACTTTGACAAGCACATTGGTGACAAAGGCCAAAAGCAATCCCACCACAGTATACAAGAATCCAACCGCGAATCCCTCAGCTCCAAGCTGCATCCCAGATCCTTGGTAGAAGAAAACGAGCTTGTTCGGATCGTTACGATCCTGGAGAAACATCGGCATTTTCCTGATGATGTTGTGCATCGTTCCAGCGACGCTGAAGAAGTAGATGAATATAGCACCTGATAACCAAAGCCTACGGTCATGGAGAAGAGTTTCTCCTTTGAGAATCCGTTTGATGATGAACGGAGAAGAGACAACGATCAACGCTACGATGACACTGATCTGCGATTTGGAAAGAAGCGGCGGCCGTTTAATTGGACCGACGGTGAGCTTTGTTCGCTGCTCGACGAACTCAGCCATTGATTCCGCTAAACGAGAGTAATCCGATTGGTCCATTTGACCAGATTCGTCGCGGAGGTTCGATGTCAAAGGACTAACGAGACGGATGTGAGGAAGAGCGTTGACGCCGAAGAGCTGGAAAGACGATTGAGACTTCGAAAACTCGATCTCGCAGAAGAAGAGCTTGGTTCCCTGAGATCCATTGTTGTTGGCGAGGAAGGAAGCGGAGACGATGCCGAACTCACGACGGAGCTCCTGAAGACGAAGCTCGCTTTTGCTGTGTAGCTGAGTAGCGTCGAAGAAGACGAGTATGGAGTAAGGACGTGGAGTTGAAACGGAGGTGAGGAATTTGGATATTCCATGGTCGTCGAGACGGATTACGCCTGATTCGGCGGCTGATCTGAGAGAAACAAGCTCGTTGATAAGATCTGAATCGGAATCTGGATCCGAAAACGAAGCTGATACGATTGATGATACGGATGCTAAGAGGAATAGAAGAGATAAGAGTTTATTATTATTGATCGCCATTGTCGATCTCACCTTGAAGGTCTCTCTCTCTCTTTTTCCAGGTGAGTTCAGATTCGGAAAGCGAAGGAAGAAGACCGAAGAAAAAAAAAAGGGCATTGACGTTTACAAGAAAGCTTCTATTTCAAGAAGAAGGTCTACGAGGCTCTTAATTTTAATATCTCTTGCTGGTTGTCCAAATTGGATGGTTTTTATTGGTGTAGGTATCCACGTGGATAATTTTGATTCGGGAATAAATCAGCAACCTAAAGAGCTTGACATAGCACAATGTCATTGTTCACCTTCATTAGCATTTCTTTTATATTTATCTTTTAATACTTAATGTCTTCAAATTTTATATTCATTTCACTGAGGATATATATATATATATATATATATATATATTTTTTTTAACACAGATGCTTTGATGAACCCTTTTTCCGTAGATTTTATTGATAATCAATCTCTGAGTAGAGTACAAAGCCGACAAAAGAAAATATTTCTTGAGACTAAACCAACAAGCTCATAGAATTTGCAGAAACAAACAGCTTATAAACGAAAGCCAACCAAACGTGTGATAATACATAAGGGCATCTCTAACCATGAACCCCATTGAAGGGTTCATCAGAATTTTTTATTAGTTTCTTTGAGAAAATTTTTTTGGGTGAACTTTATGAAAAAATTGGTGTCCAATTCTGAACCCCTTGAAGGAGTGTTTTGGATTATTTTGGATTATTTTAATAATTTTTTTTAATAAATTTTTTTTTTCAGAAAATATATTTTACACATTTAATTTATTACAATTTGAAATAAATTATTCATTACAGATAAATAAAATTACATGATAAAAAGATTAAACAAACTTATTCATTACATATAATTAAAACTCAAGAAAAAAACATTAAACCAAATGTCCAAATTTATGCCAAACATGTTCAAGTAAATCCTTTTGCAATTTATCATGTGTTTCTGAATGTCAAACTTCTTCGCGATTGCTTATCAAATTTTGAATATTTGTAGGCATATATGTAGAATACGACATATCCACCTGAGAACTTCTGTTAACGTCGCCTTGTTCGTATTGTGTTGTATCAACAAGATTATATCCATCGCGTTCGTCTTCCACGATCATATTATGCAGAATGATGTTTGCCCGCATAATATTCCCAATTTTTCTCTTATCCCAAACAAGAGCTGGGTTTATTATAATTGCGAAACGAGACTGCAATACTCCAAAAGCACGTTCGACATCTTTGCGGTAGGATTCTTGACATGAAGCAAACAATCGGGTCTTTGGATCTTGCGGTAGGGGAATCGATTTTATGAAAGTTGCCCATTTTGGATAGATACCGTCAGTGAGGTAGTATGCCAAACGGTATTCGTTTCTATTGATATAGTACTTAACTCTTGGAGCTCGACCTTGTAAAATGTCATCAAAAACCGGGGAGCGTTCAAGAACATTAAGGTCGTTTAACGTACCTGGAGGTCCGAAAATTGCGTGCCATATCCATAGATCATGTGATGCCACCGCCTCTAAGACGATTGTTGGTTTTCCTGAACCACGTGTATATTGTCCTTTCCAAGCGGTTGGACAATTTTTCCACTCCCAATGCATACAGTCGATGCTTCCAATCATTCCCGGGAATCCACGTGACTCTCCGACATCAAGTAGGCGTATTAGATCATCTCGGGTGGGTCTTCTTAGGTATTCATCTCCGAAACAAGAGATAATTCCTTCAGTGAAATTTTCTAAACAAGAAATAGCTGTACTCTCACCTAGCCGAAGGTACTCGTCAACCGCATCTGCCGCAGTGCCATACGCCATCATACGTATTGCCGCTGTACATTTCTGTATGCAGAGAGGCTAACCCTTCCAACAGCATCTCTCCTTTGTTGAAAAAAAGCTAGTTCCGCTGATAGTCGATCAACAATACGCAGGAACAACGTCTTTCTCATCCTAAAACGGCGGCGAAATAGATGAGGAGGATATGTTGCATCGTCACTAAAATAGTCGTTCCATAACCGTTGATGGCCTTCTTCACGTGCTCTTTCAATATATGCTCTTTTTTCTTCCTTTTTGGCATTGGAGCGGTATGCTGATGTAGTAATTCGTTGAATGCATCTTCAAATTTTTCTTCCAAGATATTATCAAAAGTTTCATCAAAGTAGTCATCAATATCGACATCAATTGGGGTGTTTGAAGAAGATGCCATGTTGAAGATGAAAATCTAGAGTATGGTTTAGGAAAAAAAGGGACAAGTGTTTGTTTTGACTGAAAGAATTTTTTTAGGCTGAGAGAAAGAAGTGGTTGTTTTGAGAGAAAGAAGGCTAAGTTGTTTGTGTGATATGGTAATGAGTGTGATCGATCTTTATATAGAGAAGTAGAAAAAATATCTACACACGATTGTGTGGCTTCCAAACAAGATTCTCGGTCCAATAATTTAACTTTATAAAATTATCACTAACAATATACAACATAAAAATATAAACCATTCGTGGTCACAGACAGAATACAACAAAGAAATATGGTCCCTCCACTCAGTGTTGTATCCGTTCACGGGTTTCCACTATTTGGCCGTGCAATGAGTACCGTATACGATCACCAACCTGTACACATTACGATCAGAAAAAGTCACATAAGGCACATAACTTTGCATTAAACATTAAATAGCACCGTATTCATATATTACCACTTAAAATAGCACACGTTAAGAAGACTAAAATAGCACAAGTTAAGAACACTAAAATGATTATGACAAAGTCAGCATAACAACACGTACAAGCTCTTAACTTATATTATCACATAAATTCATCAATAAGCTTGTCCCTAAAATCAACTTCTTTCTCAGAAAGTGGGTCGGTTCTACTAAAAAGACTCTCTAGCATTCTCTGTCTAGACAGCGCCTTCTTCAATTCCAAGTCTCTCAGTTTTATTTCCCACAAGTCCTTGAAGTCCTCCATTTTTTTTCCCTTCGTCTTTAGCAGGTCCGTTCACCTTCTTTTTAGCAGCAGATTTTGCTGCTTTTACTCCTGGCGGGCGAGCTTCAGGAGAGCTGTCGTCAAGTATTTCAGGTTGACTACCATGAGCCGACGTCTCGTCCCCCTTTCTTCTTTTCTTTTTCGCAGAGTCTTTGTCCGCTGTTGAGGAGCACCACTTCTGGTCGTGCCGTAATTCTGTCCAACAATGCTCGAGGCCAAACTTAAACTGGTGATCACTGAAAAATATTTGATGAGCAGCTTTCACCAAATCATCATCGTTTTGCCCACTTCTCTGCCCTTTCACAGCCGTTTCATAACAACCTACGAACTTGCTCACTTGGTCGTTGATTCTACCCCACCTCTGCTTGCAATGAGGTGCCTCTCGGTCTGGTAAGTCGGCTAACTTCTTATTGGCATTAAACAAGAGCTGAATACGCTTCCAAAAAGCTTGAGCTTTTTGTTCATTTCCCACCACCGGATCCTTGCTGGTATTTAACCAACAACTGATCAAAACAATGTCCTCCACTGGTGACCATATCCGCCTCTCCTTGCGATCCTTGGAAGCCACCCGTGGGTCATCAGTAGTTTCCTGACTACTAAATGGAGGCAACTCTGATGAAGTTAGATCTATGGTTTGAGAAAAATAGAAAGGGTTTTCTGCTTGGCTTGTTAAAAGATTAACAAAGCCCTGAGAGTTACCAAAAGCATTCGAAGAATCCATACGGTAACTACAGAATGGTTGAAAAGGGTAGAGGGATAGAAGAAGAAAGGAACGGATGAAGAACAAAAGATGAATAAGATTGGTTTATAAAGAGTTAGTACATAAGTTAGGGTTTCAGTTAGTAAGAAAACGAGCAATAAATACACACCCATTCTTGCAATTACTCTTCAACATACAAATAGCATTCATCACAAAATAAACCAACAATTACTCTTCACCTAACAAAAAAGCAGACTAACCAAACATTGATGACAACCTAACCGATTATTCTAACCTAGTACTTTAATGGTTATTCTAACATAGTACCATAAAGCATTGATGATTACTAACCTTGATTCAATGCTGATAAGACTGATCGCTGTTGTTCCCCTTAAAACCTCACCCATAAGACTGAACCAACACGCCTGTTTGTTGTTCCCCGTAAAACCTCACCCAAAAAAAAAAAGGTGTGAGAAAAGATCAACTAATGCATAATATAATATATACATGTCGATGTGTAAAAAAAAATAAGTACCTGGTTTGTACCAGCCGATGTCCATCTTCTTTCCACAATCTAACCAAACCAAACAATGTCGACATAATAGTATATCGCAAGCAAGAATATATAACAGTCACTCATAGCCTAAATTATAGTTATAAAGTCTGGAATAGCTAATAATTAGGGAAATACAATAAGTCTTCTACAAACAAATTACATTGCTTAGGCAAATACAATAAAAGTTTTACTACAAACAGACTCATATATCTCTACCACTTAGACATATATGAAATGGTTGCAAAAACCAATAGGACGAAGAGAAGGAAGAAACCGTCACCTCGGTTTGCAAAGGCATGCTTCAGCTGTGAAACCTCACCTTGAAGGACTCGTACTTCTTCCTTTACTTCGCCAACAGCTGGGTCGGAAGCCACAACCCCTGTGTCTCCTTGGTTTGCAAGCTCCTCCTTCATGCGAGCAACTTCACCTTGAAGAAGGCGAACATGTGTTTCCAAATGTAGATGTTTCCCCTTTGCCTCATCAAGCCGTATCCTGTATCTCTCCATCTGCTCTGTCACACCATCATCCCACCATTGAAATATGTGCTCAAAAGTCCCCTACAAAACAATAAAGTGTTATCAATCTAATAAACAGCAAACTAATCATGATAAAGCAACCAAAGTTCACCCTTAATTACCTCATTCAAGTACTTCGGACACTTGTAGTACCGGCGGCCAGGAAAAACTGTGGAATCAGCACTCATTGCTTCAAGCTTCAACCGCATCCCGCAGAAACACTTCTCCTGAATTCCGTAGTTGGCATCGGAATATGCCCACCTCAAATCCTCCTCTGGCCCTTCAGAAGATGTTTCTGAATAGCTGATCGGCATTCTTTCTGCACAAAATCGATAACAGTTTATCACCAACCTCAAACCTAAAACCAAGAATCAGAATTCATACGCATAGACTACTCTCATCAAACAAACCGTAAACCCATATCAACTACTAACCATGAATCATCCATTTCAATCGCAAACCATATCAACTATGAATCATCCAATTCACTCGCAAATTAGTTCAAGTTGGGGTTTCACATATTCGCAATCAAAACGGTTAAATCAAAATCGAAATCAACCCTCCAAGTACACCGATAGCCGTAATTTACCAGAAAACTTAAAAACCCCAATTTCCCCCAAATCAGCAAACCCTAAATCGACAAAACCCTAAACTAATCCATGCAATTTCAACCTAAACGAGTACTTCCCGATCAGACAGACCATCGCATGACCTCTAAGACCCGTAAATAGACCAAAAATTAAAAAGCCCCAAATTTCCCCAAATCGTATAAACCCTAACTCGACGAGAACTCAAATAAAAGCTCTATACAATTAAAAAACAACCAAGGCTTGGATAACATACCTTCGAACTGGAGTCGTAGAACACTTCGATCTCGGAAAAATCGCCGGAATCGCAAACAGAGTGTGAATCGCCTAAAGAGAGAGCTTTGGTCGTAAAAAAAGAAAAGAGAACGAGCAAATGTTTTCCAGAAAAAAAAACCCGATACCCCTAAATTTTAGTTTCTCTCTCTTTTCTGTTTCACCCAATAAAAACGTTACACGTGGCCAATTTACTCTTCCTGAACCGCTGCTTCAGATACATCCCAAAGCACCGATGCTTTCAATTATGGGCTTTTATTTTTTTTTTTAAATCCAAAAATGCCCAATAAACCCCCTGATGAACCCCATATTACCCAGCGTTGGAGCTGGTCTAAGAGATAAGACGTTGTACTGTTATATTAAAATGATGAGAATTTTTTGACATTTCTAATTCTACAATGCATCAAGTCTCAACTCAAAATAAGCTAGACCGGTTCATGGGGTCGGACTCGTCGTCAGAAGTATTTTGGAGAAATTATGTGGTGTGAAGATTGTTATGGTCATGTGTATCATCATGCTAATGATTATTATACATCCTGATGAGATATATGCAGGTTCTTTTATATATACTAGCAGACTATAATCTAATTAAATTTACCAATAGTTTGACAGAACCAAAAAATCTTCAGAGTTTGTATTATATTTGCAAAGTCTACTAAATATTACTAAATATTTGCAGAGTTTGCCACAAAAAAAAAAAAAAAAAATTTGGCAGACTAAGTCGGCACCAAATACCAGTAGAGTCTACCAAGTATCTGCGAGTTTACCAAAAAAATGGTAGAGTGAAATCTAAATCTTCAAGAGTATTTTTGGAAAAATATGTTATTCATATTTTTGAAATTTTAAGAGGTTATTTTGGCTAATTTTTATATTTTGTAGATTACTATAGCAAATCTTCCAAAGAAATCCTTTTGTGTAAAAGGAATAATAATTGAACTGAGGTTCCACTCGATTACCCATTTTTGAGTTAATCACAATACAATTCTGTTTAATGACTAATTGTTGTGGATCATATCAGTATAAGTTAGGATCAGCACTGTCAAATGTCATATTTTAAGGTTTAACTTTATTAGTGGTTTAAAATTTCAGTTTTTAAATTTATTTTTGTCATAATTACTTATACTTAATTTCGAAAAACCCTTTTTGTTAAATACAATATTGGCTAATTCATAATTAGAATATAAAACACATGTGAAACAAACATGAATAATGGTTTATATTTTGCTTATGTTTTTCTTTATTTTTGCTTGTTTTTCAGTTTCTTGCTATCAATTTTATGTAAAAGAAAAATAATATTTGATGAGATCGATTCAAAAATAAAGGAGAAACGGTTGATATACAAATCTTGTCATAGGCTTTTCCCTTTTTTTGGCATAATCACATTATATTTTGTTTTTAGCAAAATATAATGGCTTATATTTAGCTTATATTTTTCTTTATTTTTGCTTGTTTCTTTCATTTTATTGTATCAACCAGATGTTATATAAAAATGAAATAATATTAGATGAGATCGATTCAGAAAGAAAGAAGAAAACTGTTGAAATATAAATCTTGTTGTAACCTTGTAGGCTATATAACTTATAGGATAGGAACCTCCGACATCTGTTTTCGAAGGTCCGTATATCTTAGCTTTGATCTTATTTTATATTTTATCCTCTAAACTATATATATTTTAACATAAAAATTGCGTAGAACTGAAACATAAAAATTGGTGATTAAGTTTGGAACCCGATAATAGGTATAGGATATTGGCCGGCAAAGATTTTCACGATGCTGGCCGATCATACAGTTCTAATGCAATGGGGCAGTGAGATCAAACGAGCTGATGTTTGGTCAACATAAGACGACCATGATGGGATCTGGTCGCTTTCCAGATGAAAGTTTTCAAAAAAGCAAATTACACTTTTGAAACTTATAAAATGTTGATCATAACAACAGTCTATAGTCCATCTAAGGTAAACAACTTCAAGCGTACGACTTGAAAACCCATTTTACAGTTGGGGCAGCTATTTCTTCTATGGAGGACCAAGATTTAGCCATCTGCATTCTGTATTCAGGAGCTGTTTGTTCATTATATTCGTTTATTGGTAATTTTCTTAGACATTCACATAAAACAAAAATATTACTTAGAAAAACTCATTCAATAGTTAAGTGAACAATAAATAAAATCATCTTCGGAAATTATTTATTCCGTCTCCAATTTTTTTTTCATTCCATCTAAGTCAAATATTTAATATGTCAATCATATTTTTTACGCTATGCTAATCTTTTTGTTTTTGTTAACTACATGTATTTTGCGGATTTGAATACTGGTGATGACCCAACAGCAATACTATCACAAATATTATGGCACATGTTTTGGTCATTTAATATGTCAATCTTTTTGTAGTTAATAAAACTTCAATCTCTCAAGCTTTATGATGTCACATATTAAAATATGAGTCACTTTTCAAAATATAAAAATATTAGTTTACTTTCATACACTTTATCATCATACTATACTTCCCACATTTTCTTTAGAAACAAAAAAATTATGGTTTGGATAAACAAGACACCGTAGGTGTTGTATCTTGGACAGTACCATCAACATTGTTGCATACGACCTCCAACGTTTTGCCCTTAGTCGCCGGAATAATGGTGATGTCCTCTAAAACGATGCCGTTGCATCTTTTGACTTCACTGCAACTCAAAGTTATTGCTCCTTTACTCGCTGACCCGTGAAACCCTATGAACTTCACATCACTCACTTCAACCGCTGAAGTCTGTATTTGATTTATTCAGTTTAACATTTTAAACGATAACAATTATATTTCTGTTACAATTTAAATCATTTTTTAACAAAGATAAAAAGTGAAATAAAACTTACCGTGGGAGGGCAATGATCTCTACAGCCATAATGCTGATCGATTATAATGGGGTTTCTTGTATTTATCAGTATAATGTCTTTAAATGAGATACTCTTCGCATACCCTGATCCTCCCTGCAGCATTTTGCCTTATATTATTGTACATACTTATGCGCAAATATATATAATGGTAATGCGATGTATTATTAAATGAAGAGTAAATTAAAGAGATTAAAAAAAATCACCGGATAGGTTTTGATTCTTGCTCCGTTTTGAGTTCCGTTGAAAGTACAATTCTTGACATGAACATGTTCCACTTTTTCGGCTTTGTTTCCTCCTAAGCTTCCCACACTGTGAAACACAATAATAATAAGGAAATTATCAGATATATATTCCATGGCAAAATATCTTCTTAAGTCAAAGAGATTATTCCATATGCGACTCGAAAGTCATATAAAATATAACCTATAAATAATTTTGATCTCCGGAATCGATATGTCAGTAAACTGAACATGATCATGTTAACATTTTAAATAAAAAAAGACTGGTCCAGGATTTGAGAGTATGCGAAATAAAAGAAAACAAGTTTTTGGTTATTTTTGGTTCTAATAATCGTAAACATTCCCAAAAAGAAATTGTTTTTGATTAAATAATGAGTGTGTGTAGATACCTAAGTCCATGACCAGGGCCGCAATACACGTTAGTGATATTGATGCCAGAACAACCTCCATTTATGGCTACACAATCATCACCTGCATGCATTTTTGTTGGTTACATTAATAAGTTAATTAGCACTTTAATTCTCAAATATCATGATTTAGAACCAGTTGCGATAGTTGAGTGGCTTTTCTAATTATTACCAGTTGCGATAGTTGAGTGGAACAGATTAACCTGACTCGATCCCACTAGATTGATGCCATCCGTATTCGGACTATGTTCAGGCGCGATTAATGTTACGTTAAATACTGTCACTTCAGTGCAAGAATTGATGCTGATATATTTTTTTGCACTATTGATCGAAGTAATCGATTTCAATCGTAAATTGTCGCAGCTTCTGAAAGCCAGTGACTGGGAAGCAACATATATATATAAAAAGTTTAGCTTCGAATTTTCAAAATTGTTTTTTTTTCATAATAGGAGATTAAGCTGATAAAGTTACATTACCGTGGGTCGATTTGAATGTACATCATTCCACCAAGTTGGACCACTTCCTTGGATAATGCCAGAACCATCGACGATGAGATTCTTCACGTCTTTGAATATAATCCATCTCCCATTTCCTTTTTCTCCCCATTCACTTTTGGTCGGAGCACTAATCTTTCCCAGTAGCTGTTTCGATAAATTAGATTAAATCTTACATTTAGAACATAAAAAAATTAAAAGAAGTGGGATTTTTATAAAATTTCAATTGAGTTTAAGACGGAAATACATAAATATATATAATTTAAAATCACTCAACATATATTCTAGACCGGTCTTAGAGTGTTTTTAAGGTAATTCTAAACGAATTATAATAATTTAGTCCTTTAATATAATACATTATCACAATTAAGACATGATGCAGAATATACAGTTTTCATCAGTCATATATTAAAAAAAAGTTCTTAGCTACATAAAAATAAGATTAAAGCATTACATAATATAGGTAACATCTGTTGCTTTAAGACATCTAAAAAGGAGCCTTTGATCTAAATGATGATAATAAATTAGAAAATCTCTAAACAAGATTTAAACTACATATATATATATATATATATATATATATATTTATATATATTTATATATATTATCTACTTCTATACTTGCCCATGTATTAACATTCGTGATATCTCCAAACTTACATTTATACGTACATTTACGCTACGTCGCTACAACCTATCTTTAGTATTTGATATGTACTAGTAAAAAAATCATACACATCTATGTAGATAGATAGCCAAGTTATAATAGATAGATAAATACCCGAAAATTGATACTGTTGCTCTTGCATGGACCTTTGAAGAGAATAGGCCGAAGTTTGAAGGTTTTGCCAATAGGGATTTGCAGAGTTTGTGATCCTTTTTCTCCGCATATTTTTTCCCATGCTTCTAGAAATGCCTTCAAAACATCACATGTAGCAAATAAGGTATGGTTTAACAATTGATTTCCCTTAAATAAAATTAAAATACAATTCGTAAGCCGGAACTATATATATATATATATATATATATATATATATATATTTATATTTGTGTTTAGTAATATCTTATCTTTAAGCATTAGTTTTGGTTAATATTACCTTCGAATCATCCGTCTTTCCATCTCCAAGGGCACCAAAACTCGTCACGTCGACAACATTACTTTGCAATTGGCCATTTCCTAACGCTACCGATACAATGAAAACGAACACAAAACAAAGTACCAACCCCTGCAACATATACAAATATATTAATCAGCATTAATACCCTTTTACTATAGCAACAATAAAACAAATAAGAGGGGTCTACTAATTAATCATATTTCCTTCTACAACTGTTTTCACTACCTAGCAAACTTCAAACTCATTTCATTTGTTACAGAGAAACGTATTTTAGGTAATTAGCAATAAGTAATACGTATCATCAGAAGAAGAAATAGAGTGAGAAAATTATTATTAAAGAAACAAATGGGAGCCGTCCTCACCATTTCTTAAAACTCTAGCAAAGAACACGATTTTTTATTTTTTTTTTTGTTAGATTTTGTGTGAAGAAGAAACTACATAAACAATTAGCAAAATTAGGTGTGGTTTATATAGAATGGTGCACTATGTTTAACAAGCTAAGACATTTTTAACATGTGGTTAAAGCTTTACAAGATTAGGACGCGTGAAATTAATTAACCATGGAAAAAAGTTAAGGATCTGAATATGTATATGGAAATAAATCATAAAGTGACGATAAACATTAAAACTCATAATGAAAGTGAAGCAGAGACATTAAACCGAGATCTGTACCTGGTTCTCCACTTCTTTTTTATTTATATTTGTTCTCCACATCTAGATAGTTCATTAAATTGTGTTGGCTTCCTCACTTCCAATTGCCTTGTGCTTTCTATGGTTCGTAGCAGATTCCTATAAAGACCTTTTGATTTGATAGTTATAATGAAGTGATTGTAAACTCTTTATCCAGTATGATCATCAATAGAAATATAATTTTCACACCTATGCAAAAGCAAAAAATAGATAAAGCATTTTTGTTTATTAGTTGACTAAAACAAGCATTTTTGTTTATTTTATTTTTAAGTAGTTTTTATTAACTATTTAGAACGATGATGTATTAAGAAAAACGGAAAAAATAAGTTTAATTAAACTGGTCAATTTGACTGAATTAACTGATTAATTCCGATTGAACATCTAAACCGAAAAATCAAGTTCTAAGTAAGATCCAGAGCTATTTTTTTGTTTAACATCTATCTTTACTTATATAAGATTTAAATTTACATATAAAATTCATAAGTAGTATATATATTTTTTTTTTGACAAATGCCATAAAACAACGAACATAATTTTGATGATTCATTTTCCAAAAAAATTTACTCGTTAAGATCATAAAAAACTTTGTATGTGTACGTAAAATATAAGCAACTACAATAATGTTTTTAAACAACAAAAAAATGTTACACTAACTATCATATCGCTAAATGGCAACTATGTTACAGTTAAACCTCTATAAATTAATAATGTCTGGACCATAATATTTTATTAATTTATCGAGTTATTAATTTATCAATATAAAAATTACCCAAAAAACTAATGAGAAATTGATAAAGATAGCCCCAAAAAAGTAAAACTTCATAACATTAACTTCTCATTTTGGAGGAGACTAAACTAGCACTCGTTTAATATTAAGTTGAAATTTATCAAATCATCTTCTTTTTTTTTTCACGATTGTGGTGCCATTGAAATTCACTTATGAGAATTCTCCGGCGATTTCACATCAACATTAGAGCACCTCCAATAGTGTCTCTTAAATAAAGGTTCATAGAATTATTGTATTAAAATAAAAGCAAAAAGACAAATATTTATTTTACACGTTCTTCTCCAAGAATTTTTAGAGACTCTCTTTCATAGGGTTCATCAGTGATGTGTCAAAGTTTTATTGGTTGGTCTTTTTTTCTTCTTCTACCTTCTCTCTTTCTCTCTCTTCTCTTCCTCTCTTCTTCGATCTTCTCTCCTCTTCCACCTTCTTTCTCTTCTTAAAATTTTATTAATAAAAAATTTAGGGTGAACCCCATTGAGAGGTTCACCAATGAGGATGCTCTTAGCCCCGACGATCATTGCATATCGCAGAGATAAGCTGTAAAATTGAGATGATGAGATAACACAAGCTAACAGACTTGGGAAGAAGGCCTAAACGTGTGTGTGAAGAAACCCAACTCAAGATGCATTAACTAAGTCAAACGGCTGAGACATATCATGATTTCCATTTATCTATTTCCATTACTTGCATTATATTAATAGGAAAGATTCTCTTTAAATATTAGTTTTTCCATTATAGTTATACGTTTCCTTTTTGTAAGAATCAGTCGGTTCTAAACATCTCTATATAATAAGAAGAACCCGTAAGAAGAGGGGACATCGATCATTAATAAAAAATTTCTCTTGTGTTCTTTTGCAAAGCTTTGATTGGGACCTCTATCACGAGACCGTGTGAAAGTCTGAGCAGAGACAAGAGGATGAGTAGAAAAAGCTTGAGAAGCTTTGTCTCCAGATCGTGCAGAAGAGGGAGCCTTATGAGTTTTACACTCTTCAGGAACAAGCCGGTCTCGTCCCATAAGTTTTTCTTCATCTCCACGCTTACTCCCTATTAATTTGTGTGGTATCTAATTTTGGAATTAGGGTTGGGGATTAGAGTTTATAGCTTATGATTTAGAGTAATGTTAATACAGAATCAATGAGATGCATCATGTGGTAGTTGACTCGTTTAACGATTGCGGTTGAATCGGTGATCTGAAGTTGTGGGTCACTCTAAAGTTGTACCTTTGTTTGGTAATCTTCATGCTCCGCATGAGAGATTGGAGTTTCTGTAGGATTCAGGATTAGCTGTAGAGAAGGAGAGTGCAGGTCATGGTGTTTAGTTTCAGAAAGAAGATTCAGGATTAGCTATATAGATTCTTATTTTTGTAAAGATATAATAATAATTTATTTTATAATTTTTGAAATATAACTTATATTCAAGGAAATTATAACAAATCTAGATTAAAAATTAATTTTTGAATTTATATTAAAATAGAAATTAAAAATATATTATTTATTAATATTACACTAAATTTACTTATTTGGTAAAAATAAATTAAAATTAATATTTTTGTTTGGTAACAGAAATAGTTATCCAAAAACAGAATAGTAGAAAACCAAATAAAAATTCTGTTTGGACACAAAATACTCTTCTCCTTTAATACTATAGATAGTTTAAATAAATTAAAAATATCTAAAAAATATTTTTGCAATATCTAAAAAACCGTTTTTGTAAACATTTTTCTAATATATAATAAAACGTTTTAATAGTATAATAGTATTAATAAATTAAAAATATCTAAAAAAGATATTTGCAATATCTAAATTTTTTCTGTAGTATATAAAAACATTTTCGTAATAGTATTAAAATATTTTTTTAAATGTTTGTAAACAAATATATCATTAATTTGAATAGGAAAACGTTTTTTAAATAAATTAACAAAAATTTATAAGATTTTGAAATAATAAAATTTTTGAAAATATTGAAAACTTTTGAAGTTTTTGAAATCTTTGAATTTTTGTATAACTTCCAAAATTTATGAAACTTTTAAATGATGAAAAATCATTATACTTACGTTTAAATGACGACATTGTTCACAGTATAAGTTAATTTTTTTTCATTAATTTTCTTTCTTTATTTCATCATTTATCTAATAATTTTATAATTTTTTTTAGGAAATTCGAAAAGTAAAAGGTAGATTTGTCGGATTAGGCGGACTTCCAAGCCAAGAGTCTTCGTCTTCAGGTTATTAGGCCCATCTGCAAACTACAAAGCTGACACGCAAAAACTATCTCTAACGGTTAAATAACGTGACGAGGAGGTTGTAGAGCTTAAAGCTGCTCACCAGTCAATCCGTCAAGAGCTATCTGATCTGAAAGCCCTTTTGAAAACTGCATTACTTAACTACTTTAAATAGTTATGTTTTAAATTTCCAAAACTATTGTTATTTTGTATTTTTAAAAATCAAATTTAATGTTTTCGGAATTTTTGATTAAATAAATATTTTTAATGTCTATTAATTGTTAAAAAAATCATTGTGAATTAAATATATTTTTTCAAAACTATACTTATAGTGGTCACAAATCCGTAGGAAAACGTTTGGTCACAAATCCATAGGAAAAATTTTCGTCAGAAATCCGTAGGAACAAAATCTGTCAGAAATCCATAGGAATATATTTCGTCGGAAATCCGTAGGAATATATTCCGTCGGAAATTTGTAAGAATGTATTCTGTCGGAAATCCATAGGAAAATGACCAACCCCAAATCGTTGGTAAGTTATCGGAAAACTATTCCTCGGTTTGGCGTTTGAAAATATCCAACACGATTCCGATGATTACAATCCGTCGAAATATTCCCACGACTTTCCAACGGATGTGAATTTTCGACCAGCTGGAACCGACATGATGTTTTTTATGGCAAATCCGTCAAAAAAGGTCATTTCCGACGGATTTTCTACGGATTTAGCCGTAGGAAATGAGCTGCTTTCTTGTAGTGAATCAGATGTTATGTAAAAATGAAATAATATTAGATGAGATCAATTCGAAAAGAAAGGAGAAAACCGTTGAAATACAAATTTTGTTGTAGGCTATATAACTTACAGGATAGACAACCATTATTCATTATATATATTTGAACTAACTAACTAATAAATGGGTAATCGAGTGGGACTTCAACACATTGAAGAGCATTTCAGTATAAGTAAGAATTGACACTACTGTCAAATGTCATTGTTTTGTTAATTCAATTCCACATTCAATTACCAAATACTAATATATCAATTGGTTTTTTAAAACACAGTAGAACATAATTGAATGTCCGCAGGTTTTATTTTGTGGTGAGCTAGTTTTATACAGACCAGTAGCGGTATTGTCATTGGAGGTTCCATTTATCCTGTCTCATCCTTCGACGACAACCAATTTAAGATCTCTGTTTTCGAATGGAAGGTCCATATCTTAACTTTTTAACATATAATTATTGTGTAAAACCGAAAACATGAAAATTGGCGGTTAAGTTTGAGGTCCAATAATATACTGGTAGGATACTGGCTGGCAGAGATTTTCACAATGTTGGCCGATCATACAGTTCTAGTGCAATGGGGCAGTGAGATCACAAACAAGCTGACATTTGGTCAACATACAACGACTAGGATATGATCTTGTCGCTTTCTAGATGAAAGTTTCGAGAAAGCAAATTACTTTCGGAACTTAGAAAATGTTGATCATAATAACAGTCTATAGTTCATCCAAAGTCATGAAACACAAAAACAACTTCAAAATGTATGACTTGAAACCCCATTTTACAGTTGGGGCAGCTATTTTTTCTATGGAGGACCAAGATTTAGCCATCTGCATTCGGGAGCCATTCGTTCATCATTATAATCGTTTATTTGTAATTTTCTTAGACAATCACATAATGAATGAGTTTTTGTCACATAAAAACAAAAAATGTTACTTAGAAAACTCACTCATTCATTAACAATTAAGTGAAATCATCCAAAATTTTTTTAA